CTTCTTCTTCTTCTTCTTCTTCTTCTTCTTCTTCTTCTTCTTCTTCTTCTTCTTCTTCTTCTTCGTTGTCGCTTCTTCTTCTTCCTCCTCTTCTTCTTCTTCTTGGTAATGATCCATGGTGAAAAGGATCGTCACAATCGGGATACTCATCTGTGAGATTGAACATCCTCTTTCTTTCCCTCATTTCTTGTCGTAGTTCTTCTTCTTTCTTCTTCTTCTTCTTCTTACATGCGGAGGAGTATTGAAATATCTTGTCGATGCGTGTGCAAGAAGCAGTCTATGGCCACTGTTTTTCACTATTCTTCTTCTTCTTCTTCTTCTTCTTCTTTCTTCTTCTTCTTTATCGTCGTCGTCTTCTTCTTCTTCCTTATCACGATATCAAAGCCATCACTGCGAGATTTTGAAGAATATTAATATCGAGAGAACCATCATGATCCTCCTCCTCCTCCCCATCCTTTTCCTCCTCTTCCTGCTCGTCCACCTCCTCCATCTTGTCACTGTAACAGTTGCAAGGATCATGGACATCCAGACCATTATGAAGATGCCAGGGGTCCACGTCCTTCTCTGCCTCCTCCTCCTGCTGCTCCTCCTCGTCCTCATGCTCCTCCTCCTCCTCCTCCATCTTGTGACTGGAACCGTCGCACCGTTCATGGAGTTCGGTACCTTTTTAAATCCAGTCCAGATGCAGAAAAGCGGATCATTCGTGTGAATGTAGATATGTTTTATGCAGAGATGCAGAAAAGCAGACCAAGCGTGAATGTGGATTTGTTTTACGCAGAGATGCAGAAAAGCAGATCAATCTGGACCACTCCACCCAACATGTCCAGATTTAGGCGCCAAAATCCAGTCCCCCTTGCTAGGGGGATCTCGTCCCCGGAGGAACGACTCAGATCTGTGGAGCGATGTCAGAAAAAAACAACAGAAAAGAACAGAAAACGATCTGTGGAAGGATGACACGTGGGCCTCAAGATCTTTATGATAAATATAAACCAACGTGGCAGTGCTCCCCATCATCCGCAGTCCGATGGTTGGCTTATGTTACACTCCGTCAAGATCGTAATCTTACCTCTACTCCCCTACCCTCCACTCTCCTCCTCCCGCCCTCTTCTCTCCTCCTCCTCC